GGATTATTAGTAATCATTAAAGTGTTGAATTCATATGCTTCATTAGGTGAAGTAGGTACTTCTTGTTGTTTTTGTTGTGATGAGGCAAACTCTGTAATTAGTAGAAAAACAGTAAACAGTACATTCACTTACTGTTTAACTTCCTTTTGTGTACAATAAGAAGCACAATGAAACTTACCAGTAAAAATATAATAACAACACCTAATGATGTTGCTGTGATAACTATAATAACACATAGTGAACTATAATGTGTATTATATTTATGTCATACTAACCAGTACTGACGTTAAGAGTTGATGAAACAGGTGTTGCAGTAGGAGACAATTGTGTAGTAGTAGTGACATTTAAATGTACAGTATTAGTACTAATAGTACCAGTAGTAGTGATATTAGGAGAAGGAGGATATGTATCTATTAATACATAATACTGTAATATGTAATGAACACATACATACTCACCAAATGCTAGTATAAATGGTTCACTACTACCAGCCTCATTAATAAATACAATACTGATATTACCCAGTACACTCCAGTATAATCTATAAATTAATAATAATGGTATTAATGAAGGTATTAATAGCATACTTGGGGGGTATAGAACTGGACAATAACCACATCTTGTGTATAGTAGAGTATGTCAAGTGATGTATTCTGTACAGCTCTAGGTACTATGAAAGATTAATAAACATATTAACATGAAGAAAGTGTATGTACCTCTTTGATATGAGAATGTATCATTATTAGATATTCCTTCTCCTAATTCATTAACTCCAGTTATAACATATGTATAACGATGAATAAATAAATTATTATCCACAAACTGATAACTGGTATCATATACTGATACTCTCCTTAAGAACTGATCAGTAATAGTATTATATATACTGAGATTATAGTATAAATTATTGTCTCCTGTAGCAGCATTCCAAGAAACATTAATGGTGGAACAATTGTCAATTATTGAAGACTTAATATTAACAACTAGTTTAGGAAAACCTAATGATACAAAGTAAGAAACTTAATGGCAGGAAGACAAAAAATGAATTTACTTACCAAATGTAAAAGACAAAATGTTATTAAACATTCCTTCATTATTACTCAATGATACATTAACAGTGAATGTGTTCATATTATCTGATAATGTTACTGTAGTACTTCCAGTTACAATCATCAGTTGATCATTAACCTGTATTGGTATACTGATACTGTTTATTACTGCGTTATCAGTATTCAGTATATTAACTGTTATACTATTAGGATACTCTCCTTTACATAATGCACTGACCTATGAGTGAGTGAGTGTGTGTG